TGAGGGCAGCTCAATTCCCCAAACCCCAGAGTTCTCATCCATGGTAGACTGAGCCAGTTCACACCAAGCTCCAGCTGCCGGCCGGGTCCGCCCACTCTCTTTCCCAGGGGCCCGGCCCTTCCTCCTTGGCTGCACTCACCACCCTGCACTCAGACCAGCAAAAATGCCAACTGGCCCATGGCACTGCTCTTCCCAGAAACACTCCCTGTCTTTCCACTGCCTTCAGCATGCAGTCAAAAAGCCCCTGTCTGGGCTGCCTGAGGGACTGCTGGACTGTCAGCTCCTCAAGTAGAAGAACACCTTTCCATCCCTCTAAGAATTCTCCCATAGCCTGGGTCTGGCCATGCTGATTGTGGGCAGCATTTGCTGGAGGATGGATGGATGGATGGATGGACGGACGGGTGGGTGGAGCTAATGGGTGGATGGGTAGTTAAAGAGAGGATTAATGTTTCTTCCAAGGTCACCCAGGACAGATATTTGTGGGCACTCAGGCTGACCTCTCCCCAGGGTACAAATGCTCTTATAGCCGCTGACAGAACTTAGCACAGGTTTCGACACCCCCAGGAATGGGAGTCTTACTCCCCAGAGCAGCACCTGCCCTACTGTCTCAGGACAGACCTGTCTCAGGCCTTCCTCCATAGGAACTCAGACTTGCCAATTTGAAGCCCCCCCCTACCTGGGTTCTGACCCTGTGTCCAGGCTGCAGAGCCAATCATACCTCACAGGTGAGTCTGTCAGCTAGTCAAGATCCTTGGAGGATCAAGAGGTTTTTTGCGTAGATAGATACTGAGTGAGCTGTCAGGTCTGGCTGCTGATTTAGCGATGGGCTAGGGTAGCGAGGGAGAGGCAAGGAGATGGAGGTGGCTGCGCTAGCTACCCAGGGACACTGGCTGGTGGTTTAGATGGCGTGATGACAGTGGGCACAGGGGTGAGGAAGAGGAAGATGTCCTGGCAGTGGGGTCGGGGATCCATCCATCCCACCATCCATCTACCCACCCACGCATCCCTGCATCGATTCCCCGTTTGTCCCCCACCCACCCTTCCATCCACTCACCTGTCCATCCACTTACCCATTCATCCACCATCCCCCATCCATCCACTCACCTGTCCATCCATCCATCCATTCATCCGCCATCCCCCATCCATCCACCTACCCATTCATCCATCCATCCCCCAACCATCCACCCATCCACCCACCCATTCATCCATCCATCCATCCACCATCCACCCACCCATTCATCCACCATCCCCCATCCATCCACTCACCTGTCCATCCACCCATCCATTCATCTGCCATCCCCCATCCATCCACCATCCACCCACCGATTCATCCACCATCTCCCATCCATCCACCCACCCACCCATCCATCCATCCCCCATCCATCCACCCACCCATTCATCCATCCATCCACCATCCACCCACCCACCCATCCATCCATTCACCTGTCCATCCACCATCCACCCACCCATTTATCCATCTATCCACCATCCACCCACCCATTCATCCACCATCCACCATCCACCCACCCATTCATCCATCCATCCCCCATTCATCCACCATCCACCCACCCATTCATCCATCCATACCCCATCCATCCACCATCCACCCACCCATTCATCCATCCATCCCCCATCCATCCACCATCCACCCACCCATTCATCCATCCGTCTCCCTTCCAGCTGAGATATGGGAGGTGGTGGCTGAGGTCCAGTGGGTACTTTGCCCCCCTTGAAGGCTAGTTCTAGGTCCCATCATTGTCCTGGCTCTCTTATCTGCATTTGAGATCCAGACATCTCTGCCCTGTCATGGGCTGGGCCCTGCTCCCTGAGGAAGTGCGGCAGGTGCTCATCCTGTTCTGGAAGGTCACAGTGGGTGGCCTGGGGGAGGTCAGGAGTGGGGGAGAAAAAGAGGATGTCTGGCAAGATGTCTCATCATTCCTCCAATTTCGGGGCCAGATGTGATGGGGCCAGGGCAGACGGTCCTGGAGCTGGCAGGTCCTGGGAAAAGAACAGAACCCACTCCATCAGCCCACCAGGGGTGGGGGGTGGCCTGAGCCACCAGATGCTGAGTTCAGCCCCTCCCCTCCCCTGCCTGCTCCTGGTTCCTTTCCTAACCAAAGTCTGTAACCACTGGCTCTTCCTTTCCCCATCAAGCCATGTCCTGTCCTGCCCGTTTCTACAGGCTGTGAAACTACCCAGGCCACTGCTCTGAGGGGACCCTGGGTCCCTGTCCTGGCACCTCATTATAAGCCTCTCCTACCCCACTGGCAAGCTGAGGAGTAAACCTGGTTGAAGGACTTGGGTCATAGGGAATCTCAGGGGCAGGTACCTGAAAGGTGGCATCGTGGATGGTGAGGTTAAGATGAAAGGTTCTCAGGCTTGGATCAGGCCTCACTCAGACTGCTCTTGGCCTGAACTGCACCCCTTCCCCTCTCATTGACTGAAGCCTCTTCCTGACCACACACTGAGCCTGGACCCTGGTTACAGACTGAATCCCGATCCTTGGTCCTTGACTGAGTCCCACTCCATGGCTGAGCCACAGGATCACACACGGAGCCCTGACGTCAATCATAGATCAAGGCCTGGCACTGCTCAGTCATAGATCAAGACTGAGCCCTGATCACTGGCCAGACTGAGCCTGATCCTGACTTCAGGCTGAGCCCTGATCTCTGGTCACAGATAGGCCTTGTTCCCAGTCTCGGTGGGGGTTGTGGAAGTCGTGTGTTTGTGAGGTGTGTGTGTGTGTGTGTGTGTGTGTGTGTGTAGTCTCAGCCCAGGCTTTGAGGCCACTTTGTGAGAATCTTGAGAAAAGTCAGGTGAGAAGTGTGATGTGTTTGATGGCTAAGAGCACATCTCCCTCTTGACAAAATCAGAGCTCAGGGTCACAGCCTGGACGGTGCATCCAAGACAGCACTAGAATGTTCCCAGCCTCCCAGGCCCTCCCTCCCCAGGAGGTTGCAGTCTTTTTAGCACCAAGGCGTATCTGACAGATAGTGCTGTGCTGTGCTGAGCTGTGCTCAGGCTGGTGGGGCCCACTGGGTGGTGGGGGCCCAGCCCCAAGTAGACCCTGAACCACAGAACCCGCTGTGGGCTACAGGTCTTGCCCCAGGAGTTGACGCCCATGGGCCCAGAAGCAGTGCTGGAACAGGGAGGGTAAGGTGGGTGGGCTGAGCGGGGGGTCTTCAGGGTCCAAGAGGAAGGGCAGGTTCCAGGGTGAACATTCTCCTCTCCTGGCCAGGCCGGGACCCGTCTCTTGCCACCGCCTCCCTGGGGAGGGGCTGGCGCTAGGCAGGAGGCCACTGGGTCCGGTCCTTCCCCAAGTCCTTGAGTTCCTTGTGTATTTCTAGGACCACGTGCATGAGTATCCCTGCCTGTGATCACCAGGAGTCTCTGCCTGGAGGCCTGTGGGGCAGAGGACTCCCTGGAGAGTTGGCCTGGCAGACTGGGGCGTTGGGTCAGGGCCAAGGTGAAATGAAGGCCCCTTTTGCGCCAGAACTTGTGGCCATCCTGGCCACTGACCCTTGGGAGCAGAGCTGAGTGAGGGCAGGGTGTGAGGTGGACATGTGGGGTGAGCCTGGGAGGCAGGCAGTGGACTCACTGGGATCTGACCCATGCCTCCTCCTTAAAGTGGCCTCCACCATCAGCCTTGGGGCAAGGCCCTGCTCAGGCTGGGGAGGTAGGCAGTGGGGTGCTCCAGGGGACAACCCCAACTCCTGGTCACTACTGTGACCTTCCTTCCACCTGACATGCCTTGCCCTCCTCAAGGCCTGCCAGATCTCTCTGTCATTCAAATTCTGGCCCTAATACCCCCTCCTCCAGGGAGCTGGCCCTGACTGCCCCTGGTAGATGGGGTGCTCCCCTGCCCATGGGTCTCAGCTCCTGCCCCACCCTGGTCAGGCCCCCCACATCCCCAGAGGACTGAAAGGCAGAGATCTGCATGGTTTGTGTGGGGTCCCAGGCCTAATGGCTGTTCTTGCAATGGGATAGAGCTTAACATCACAGGAAGGCAGGAAGAGAGATAGACAGGGATGGGGACACAGATGGGGTCAGAGATGCAGCTGGGAGCTCCTCTTTCTGCCCTGGAAGGCGGGTCGGTGCCCAGAAAGGAGACTCAGGAGTCCTGGTACAGGCCGCACTTCTTCAAGGCATTCGCGGCAGGCTGCACAGGCCAGCTGGGGCAGGGCCGTGGGGGTGGGCGGGCTCTCTAGCGTCCCAGGCTCAGGATCAGGAGAAGCGTGAGGGCCCCAGCCAGGCAGTGGGGGCTGTCCAGAGTGGGCGCCCCATCTACATTGCACAGCTCAGTATTGCAGCAGGACACGGGCCTGGTCTGGCCGATGCCGTCCACATCTGAGGGCTCACACTTGCTGGCGCAGGACTTGGTCACCGTGGAGTCCCCCTGGAAGGGGTACACTGTGGGGTGTGTGCAGAGTCGGCCATCAGGGCTGGTCCTTATTGCCTCCCAGCCCTAGTCCCTGCCGCTGCCGCCTCATGCAGGACTCACTCTGGGGTTACCCCTCCAGGTCTCCATCCCTCCTGGCTCGGTGCCCTCCTCTTTCTCTTTCCTCCCACCGATGTTGGCCGGGTGCCTACCATGTGCCAGGCACACAGCCGGCATTCTGCACCCTGCTGGATGGGGCAGTTCCCACCCTGATGTGACTGTGAAACCAGAGCCTGTAAGTGCGCCCACCTTCCCAGCCATCCCAAAACGAGGCTGCAGATTTGTCCCCGCTGAAGGAGCAGAGGGAGAGAGGAAGGAAGGGGAGGGCAGAGGGGGGCCCTCACCCATCAGAAAGCCCTTTTTTGCAGATGGGTGAGGTAGTGGCTGTGCACTGGGGCCAAGCTGGCTGGTGGCCACTGGGCGGGAGGTGGCTCTGAGCTGGAACCCAGCAGTGCCCGCTCCCGGCCCACTGACCTATCTCCCGGGAGTAGAGTGTAGTCTTGCACATGGTTTCGTTGGTGGTGCAGTTGGCAATGGTGATGCAGTCAGACGCTCCTGTGGGCTCCAGACAGATGTAGCAGCGCAGGGCCAGTGCTGGGGAGAAGGGACGAGGGCCATTAGGCAGGCTCTGCCCCTCCCAAGCCTAGAGCCAGCCTGCCCTGGAAGCCCAGGTCTGAGGGAACAGCAGCACTGCCTAGGGCCAAGGTGCCCACCAGCCTAAACAAGGGGACAGTGGGACTGCCCAGGGCCAAGGTGCCCACCAGCCTAAATGAGGGGACAGTGGCACCACCCGGGGCCAAGGTGCCCACCAGCCTAAACGAGGGGACAGCAGCACTGCCCAGGGCCAAGGTGCCCACCAACCTAAACAAGGGGACAGTGGCACCACCCGGGGCCAAGGTGCTCACCAGCCTAAACAAGGGGACAGTGGGACTGCCCAGGGCCAAGGTGCACACCAGCCTAAATGAGGGGACAGTGGCACCACCCAGGGCCAAGGTGCCCACCAGCCTAAACGAGGGGACAGCAGCACTGCCCAGGGCCAAGGTGCCCACCAGCCTAAACGAGGGGACAGTGGCACCACCCGGGGCCAAGGTGCCCACCAGCCTAAACGAGGGGACAGCGGCACTGCCCAGGGCCAAGGTGCCCACCAGCCTAAGCTCAGGAGCAATACCAGGACCCTGGGGCTGGGGATGGGCCAGGCTCAGCCTCGGGACCCTGCGTCCCAGAGGTGGAGTGTGCTGCTGGGGCGGGGGCCGAGCTCCTTTGGAAGTGTTTGGGAGGCTCAGGCGGACTGAGGCCCTGGCATCCTCACAGCAAAAGGCACCTGGGGCGGGAAGCAGTGTGGTTGGGAGCAGGTCACCCCCTCAGATTCCCCATCAGGGAAGTCCTGCTGTGGGGATTCAGGACAAGCCAGGAGGCCGTGGAGTGAAGGGTGGACCAGGCTGCGTCCGGGCTGTGTCTGGATGCTCACTCCTCTCCCCAGAGACTTGCAGGCCGGCAGGGGCAGGGACCAGAGCTGCTCCAATTCCCTCCAGCTCCAGTGATCCCCCACCCCAATCACAGCAGCCCAGGTGGGTCTGGCTGGCTTCAGCTGGTCCAGGCAGCCAGCTGTACAGGGAGACCCGACCCCTCCGTCCCCATGGTGGGACCCGGTGGGGCCTCTGCCCTCTCTGGTGCACCTGTTTGTGGGAAATGAGCAGAGCCATCCACCAGGGGCCCCGGGCCAAGCTGCTCTTCTGTTTGAGTCCAGGACGCTGCCCTGTCGGCTGTCTCAGGCCCCGCATCTGGGAGTCACCCCACCCCAGGTATCTAGCTTCCCCACTCCACTCCATCCCCACTGCCACGTAGACTCAGAGCCTCCCTGGGGACCCCTTCCTTCCCCAGCTCAAGACCTTCTGGGTGCCCATAGCCCCCATAAAATTCGACATGTAGGCTGGTGCCCAGGGGTGTGGCGGGCTGACCCTGCCCAACTCGAAGGCTCACCCTCACTTAGGGTGGGTGTCCCCTCACCCTCTGCCCTCTCTCCATCTCCACCCTCCCCTCCTTATGGTCAGGGGTGGCACTCGGCCCTACGGTCCCACTCCTCTGGCTTCTCCTGCTTCTGAGGCTCCTTTCTGGGGTGCCCTCCCTGAGAACACTGTGAATGGCAGTGGGTGGTGTCTCCCTCCACCCAAGCTCCTCTGTGGGTCCCACGCCTCACCGAGCTCTCCACAGGCAGCCAGCACCAGTGCCAGCCACGCCAGCCGCGTCCCCAGCATCGTCCCGGCCCACTCCTCTGCTCTCTCGCCTTGGGCTTGCCCGGTGGGGACAGCAATTCTAAGTGCAATGGCCGCCAGACCGGTCTGCTGAGCAGATTAATGAGATCGAGTTTCCCCAGGGGGAAGGTGTGAAGACCCCGCCCAGGCTTGCCTCCACTGACTCCCCATCTTTCACTGCAGCTCCTCCCACTCCCAGCCTGGCCCTCTGGGCCCACCCCACATGCCTGGGACCCTCCCTTTGCCTTCCTCATTCCTCCAGTACCAGGCCAGTCTCCTCCCTGCCCCTTCCTGACCCCTCCAGCTCTCTACCCCCACCACCGTGGCCTGGGGCTGCCCCCCTTCCCTTTGTGGGGACCCTCCTCAAGACTCATAAACACCCTATGCCGCTGCTCTTCGCCTCACTCCCCTCTGGCTCACGCCAGGCAGCCCAGGGACTCCCCCCTCTACTATCTGGAAGGGGACGGGCCACCCCTGGCTGCTGGTTCCTCAGGTATCCCTCCTGCCTCAGGCCACCTGTGTTCCAGGGGAGAGCCTTGTGCTGGATCTTCCCAGACTCTGGGCTGTAATGTTCCCGGGAGGACCTTGGCCCCACCTCTGATTTCCTTCGAGTGGTCAGGCTGGGTGTTAGGGGTCTGGGACTGAACTCCCACCCCGACAGCCAGCTACAGGGTTTGCCCAGAGGCTTAAGGAGGCAAATGCCAAAAACTACTGGGTCAGCAGAGAAGGTCCTAGATGGAGAGTGGGGTTGGGAGAAGCCAGGGCCGTCTTGGGGACACTAATCCCATGCCCCTTGGCTACCTGCTGGTAGGACACTTTAATCTCTAACCTCCCAATAAGGTTGCCCTCAGGCAGTGCATACCCGACCTCCTTGCAGGTAAGGAAATGGAGGGAACGTTCCTTGCCCACGGCTCAGACAGGAGACAGTGGCTTTGGGTTGGGGTGACTCCAGGTGTCTTCTGCTCAGCTCCCCGCTCCCCCATCAGACACCCTGCCAGAGTGCTTGCACCAGCCTCCCCAGGTAGTGTCTGGCCTGTGATCCTGCCACCCCTGCCCCAAGGCCTGCAGCTGCCAGTGTGTAGGGTTGGGGGGACCAAGGCCTTGACAGCAGCCCGCGTCTTCCTGGGGCCTGGCATTCAAGGCCATGATCTCACTGAGCTATGCCCAGCCCGAGCACCTGAATCCCACCTCCTCCTGGTCTTCACTCCTGCTGTTCCCACTGCCAGGAATGCCCTTCCCTCTCCTTCACCAGCCCCAGTGGCTGAAATTCCATCTCTGGGAGACCGCACTCTCCTGCCTGCACCCCCTCCCTGCCATGGCCCTTTTAGGGTCCCCAGGCTCTCCTGCTGGATCCGCTGTCTGGGATCTGGTCTTTGGCCCAGCGGCTGGAACAGCCTGTGTCTCCTGAGTACTAGATGGGGGCGGAGTGTGCAGGGCTGGTGACGGGGGCACCCAGGATTCCCTAGCGCCCCACTTGTGTCAAAGACTTGGCCTAGCGGATCTCACTTTTCCTCACTGTAGCGCTGGAGGCTCACAGTGCAAATGAATTTATTTTGCATAAGGGAACTGTGGCTCTGAGAAGTAACTGAATTAGGCAAGGCCGCCCAGCCTGGGCTGGGCGAAGGCCGAGCAGCAGCAAGCCTGTCGGGTTTTGCATGGATGGTGCCACTCAGCCACTCTGGGTGCAACTAACTGGATTAGATGCCCCACCCTACACACCCTGGGTTCCTCTTGAGGCCTGACCCAATTCCTCTGCCATGGCATGGCCCAACTCCTTCCTGTGCTCAGACCCAGGGGCCCCACCTGTGCCTTCTACCCAGAACATACGCCTGGCCCCCAGGCATTCAGCTCCTCCTAGAATTTCTGCCTGACCCTTGCTGGAGAGATCCAGGCTAAGCCTTTCTGCAAAGTTGCAGCTGCCTGATTGGGGTGCGGAAAAATGTGGCCCAGCCAGGGTCTGGGCTGGGTTTGTCTGGGAGGATTGTGTTCTGAGAGGGCCACACCCCTCCCTCCTCAGTTCCACCAGGAACTTCTGGGTCAGGGCTCAGTGTGTGAGCAGAATCTGGGCTCAGTGTGTGATCAAGATCAGGGCTCAGCATGTAACAAATGTCAGAGCTCAGCTTCTGACCAGGATCAGGGCTTAGCGTGTAACAAATGTCAGGGCTCAGCTTGAGACCAGGTTCAGGGCTCAGTGTGTGATCAGGATCAGGGTTTAGCGTGTAAAAAATGTCAGGGCTCAGCTTGAGACGAGGATCAGGGCTCAGTGTGTGATTAGGAGCAGGGCTCAGCATGTAACAAATGTCAGGGCTCAGCTTGTGAGCTGGATTGGGATTAGTTGTAACCAGGATCAGGGCTAAGTGTGGGACCAGGGGTGGACTCCACCCACAGTAATACTGCCGCTAAACTGAGGAATTTTCAGGCTGCCACCGGAGCTGCTGACTTCAAGAAGTTACCCCTGAAGTGTGATCCAGGGATCAGACGGGGCCCAGGAACCTGCTCCCATGCCACTGCCTGTTTTCTGGGCACACTGGACCCTGCTGTGAGGCCCTTCTCCAGGGCCTTCCCCAGATCCCTCTCCATGGCCAGGGTGAAGATTCAAGTCTGTCACCTAGAGGAACTCAGGTGGGGGAGGACAGCAGTGAGAGAGGCCACGCCCTGCTCCCTGGAAGTTTCTGCTGAGGGTCACTGGGTCAGATGGTCCCCAGGGTGGGCTGGGCAGCTCAGCTTCCATGCTCTACCATGTCCCATGCTACCCAGGGTCTGGCCATGGTCACCTGTGTCCCATCATCACCCAGTGTTCTGTGTCCACTCAGGCCCTGTGCCCGTCAGTATCCTGTGGTCGCCCCCACTCACTGTCTCACTCTTTCTGTTTTCAGGCTTCGTGTTGCTCCTGGGTCACCCCCAGGCTACGATGCAGGTTTGGGCTGAGGCATAATCATCTCAAAATCCCCGAAGCAGAGGTGCTCACAGCATCAAACATGATGGGGTGAGAGGACTGGGAGGACCTCCTCAACTTGGGGAGGACCTACTTCTAAACTGGCTGGAGTTGGCCACATTCTGTTCCTCACTGTCTGTTGGTGGAGGCCGCCCTCAGCTCCCACCCATGTGGGCCTGTTCAGTGCAGCCGCCAGCTTCATGGGAGCCTCAAGCTGGACCAGCTTCCATTGCCGGGAAGCAAGTCGCCCTGCACTTAGTGGCTTAGAACAGCACCCATTTTTAGCTGCAGTCTTTCTCCCCATGTGGGTTTGGCTGGGCTCTCTGCTCAGGGTCCCACAGGCCACAGTCAAGGTGTGGCTGGGCTGGACTCCAA